AAAAAAAACCCAGATGATTAAACCATTAGAATTGCATTAAAATAAGAGCCAGCAGATTCTCATTATAATTTTATTTATATACATGATGGTTAATCTAAGGATTTTTTTTTTTACTTTTGAATTTTTAAGAAATTAATAGTTGAAATAACTCATTAACTGTTATCATAATTTGAGAACCCCCCCACAATTTGTAGAAGTTGAATTACAAACCATTGTTATTACTCTTAATAATTTCAGGGCAATACCAACACTGCCAGGCTTCACAACATAAGGTTAGCTTCTTTCTACAGAATTCCATATCTATTTTAGAAAATTCATGTAAAAGAGAGGAGAGACAATGAACTTACTTGAAAATATGCATACAAAAAAAATGTCACCAATCAGGAAAGAAGTCCACATTTTTTTTTTTTTTTTCCCTGAAAATGTTGAAGGGACTTAGAGCATGTGTTGTGACCAGAAATTGGTAGGTGACTCATATGTGTAAAGAAAGACTTCTTCCTGGGAGTGAAAATGAGTGGAGTTTGAATGACTTTTCCATTATATTTTTTAAGTCCCAGTGGCTCTTCAAGTTTCTCAATACGTTTTGGCTACTCAAGTTCATTAGTTGTCATTATGATTTTTATTTTTGATTTTACATTTTTGGGCCTTTATTTCCAACAATTATATGCACCATGAAGCACAGCTCCAGACAGTTTCAATATGCGAAACACACACAAATACACAGAAATCCTAGGATTTTAGATTTATATTTTGAGATTAAGTGACAGTGTATTTAAATGCTATTCGGTGCCTTAAACAGATGAAGTTTAAACATAATCCTCTCTTCATGGCATTCTTACTGTTAGTAGCCACAGAATAACTTACAATTTTTGCTAATGTTTTCTCTGGAATAGGACATTTCTTTATCAAATTCTGCACCTATTACCATAGCATAGGAGTTATTTTTCTTGATCTATCATGCCTTTTTTATGTGTATTTTAACTGCTTCAGTTTAAATAATAGAACAGAATGAGCATTATGAAGAAGTGGATTGGTTATGTTTATTTTGCCTGAAAATATGTTTGTGAAGATTTGAGATATGCATGTAATATGAACTTTTTACGGACTGTTGCATTTTTAATTACTGTTCCATTGAGATAGAACTCTCAGTTTAATTTGCTGCAAGGTATTTGTATTGAAAGCCTTGTCAGCCCTCTGGGAAGATATCATTTAAAGTTAATTCCTCA